GCTCGGCAATCTTTATGTGTGAACTACACAACGACGCATCAAAGAGGCTCACTGACGCGCCGCCGACACCTCGCCGACGGCAAACAAATATCTAGCATGCCAAATATCTGGACCGGTCGGCCGACTCGACATCACGTGGTGTCAGGTGTTATGACGAGCTACAGCCAGTGAGAGAGCAAGGCATGGGTTGAGGTCACCAGAAGAAAAACAGCAGCAGCAACATGGCTTAAAGAAAAGTTTGGACACAATAAATGGAGCAAAATTTTTCAGCGAGCAAACAGCTTGCAGCGCTAATTTTTTCCGACATCCATTTTCAAATAAACAACTCTTATTTCACGTGTTGTTTTGCGTCATTCCCGTTCCAATTTTCGCATGTGTTTTTCGTGACAAAACGTGGTTTGTAGAGTCGTTGGGTGACAGAGTTGTTGTCAGCTTGTGAAGTGTGTAACCCCCGGTTGCAGCATTGTCTACTTAAAACTTCAATGTACCAAAGACAATGTCAAAAATGCGGCTTGAAACCAACCCTGTTTCCTACCATCACAAACATGCCATCTAATGATATCAATTACTGTTACGTGCCCAACGTTGTAGAGAACGATACATAAATGCATTACTGTTCTGATACACAGACTTGTAGACATCTTCTTCAGAATCGGTTTCTGAAATAGAGAGCGCCACATGCAATTGTGTAGTGTTTGCTGCTTCAGTTTATGCTAAATTCACACTACAGGATTTTAAGCCCGATTTGCAAATTAACGAGCTCGCCGACAGGTCGGGCTGGGATCGGGGGAAAATCAGTGGGTGATCGGCGCTCGGCAATCTTTATGTGTGAACTACACAACGACGCATCAAAGAGGCTCACTGACGCGCCGCCGACACCTCGCCGACGGCAAACAAATATCTAGCATGCCAAATATCTGGACCGGTCGGCCGACTCGACATCACTGTCTGTCAGGTGTTATGACGAGCTACAGCCAGTGAGAGAGCAAGGCATGGGTTGAGGTCACCAGAAGAAAAACAGCAGCAGCAACATGGCTTAAAGAAAAGTTTGGACACAATAAATGGAGCAAAATTTTTCAGCGAGCAAACCATCCATTTTCAAATAAACAACTCCTATTTCACGTGTTTTTTTGCGTCATTCCCGTTCCAATTTTCGCATGTGTTTTTCGTGACAAAACGTGGTTTGTAGAGTCGTTGGGTGACAGAGTTGTTGTCAGCTTGTGAAGTGTGTAACCCCCGGTTGCAGATCATTTACATAGAGTCACGTAGTGAACACCACAACAACTTAAAGACGGACAATCAAGTCATGTAGTCTGAATAGCACAGCGATCTGCCGACGTTTAAAGTCATGTAGTGTGAACTTAGCATTAGCAAATGAAAGTGGAGCAGGTCCGAGCTGGTGTGATTGAGTGGAGGCGGGGACTAATTTGCATATTTATGGACTCTGTGTACTAAATAACGTAAGAGTATAGAGTTATATTCAAGCCATTTTAAGGCCTGAAGAAATTATTTTCATGGGAAAAAATATTTCAATCTGTCATTTTGATTCATTATCAAAGATGAGTTTTAATGGATACAATTAGTCACTGCAGGGGAACTTTAACTTCGAAAAATCTTGTTATATTGTTAAATCATTGTATTTAAACGGATAGTTCACCCAAAAAATGAAAGTTCAGTCAATATTCACTCACATGTCGTTTGGAACCTGTCTGTCTTCTGTGGAACACACAAGGAAAAGTTTAGCAGAATGTTCCTGCTTCTCTTTTCCATTCATTAAACGTGAATGTAGACCACAGTACAAGTAAACAATGACTGAATTTTCATTTTTGGGTGAACTATCGCTTTAACCTCACCCCTCCTACCAGTCTGCCTTTGTTCCTCTTCCTCTTTCTGACTCTGTCCATTTATATTAACATCTTCTTCACCCTTCCCCCTCTCCGTTGTGTCTTAGACAGCTCTTTTTTCTTTATCTGTCATTGTTCTGTTCTTCACATTATATGCTTTACTCAGGCTTGCTTCTCTGTTCTGTCAGATTGATGTTAAAAGTGCATTTTCAGTAGTCTAATGTGCTTATGATTGTGGATGGTTAGAAATTGTGCCCAAAGAGCAAAGCAAATTTGAATGTAGGTCCGACACTATGACGAGAGCTTGAGGGCACACAAAAACACACTGAGACACACACACACACACACACATACAGATACTGTGTAGAGATATTTACTTGTGGTCTGTCACTCGCTGCTCCTTTACCCCAAGGGGTTTTGTGTGTGTGTGTGTTTGTGTGTGTGTGTGTGGTGGTATGCCAACTGTACCAGCTTACAAACACACCCTCATCTACACATCCATTCATACACACACACACACACACACACACACACACACACACACACACACACACATCTCTGGCCCCGATACAGCTGTGTAGAGCACTCAGCAAGACATCAGCTCAAGCCTTGGGGCACGGCACTAAAAAATATAGCTCAAACACACTTTTTCTCGTACACGTTCACTTAGAGATTACACAGTTTTATGTGCGCACACACAGATACAGTATATATTTTGTAGACCCACAGCAGAGAGCGATGGTGTGATGTTGGAAGAGGGGATGGGATAAAAGCTGGGCTTGGTGAACAGGAACACACCAGGCAGAGGCTCACGAGAGGGGGCAATGGAGAGAGAGTTAGCGAGGGGGCGGGTGGCAGAGGAGATTGCTTGTTTTGAAGCCCCAAATGTCACCTTTTTCCCCCTCCATTTATTTACCTCGGTCTGTCGCTTCAGTTTTTCCTCTCCTGTAGAATAATAGGCCAATTAA